AGTCATAAGAACCATGAACAAATTAAGAAAGACATCTGGATGAGTATTGTTGCCTTGGCTTAAGCTAGCGGTTGAATGGTTCAAGACATCATGTCACCAATTAGCCAAGTTCGATAGTATTTTACTAAAGAAGGTTCAAAGTTGGAAGCTACATTACCTAATGTAGTATTTTTTAGCTCCCTCTCTCTACATTGCATCAAAAAAATTTCTTATTGTATATGCATATTCGAATTTCTATTTATGTGGGGGATTGTTGAAAATTGGTTTAAGGAAAAGTAGTGAAGTGTTAAAACCAAAAATGTGAAAAAAGTGACTTTTGTGTCAACTTCAATCAAATATTCGGACTTGATCCGATGGTCAAATTATAAATGTAAATAGAATACATGATCCACTCGTCGAGAAGATCATTGTGGTATATTTGGAATATCAAAACCAATTTCGTATGAATGAGAGGCGATCTAAAATTGGAAGAAAATAAAAGAAAATTTGGCCTCAATTTCTGTCTAACTCCGTCGCTTGCCTATCGTTCGAGAGATGGGGTTGTCACTCGATCAATAGGCTAGTGACCTGTAAAAAAAGTTTTTGTTAAAATTTTGACATTGATGCTCGAGTGAGAGGTCAGTGACAGGCTAGCGACAGCAACTGATGCTTCCCTTCGTAAAGTTGCGTTTGGTACGCATAATTTCATCCACAACCCCTCATCCTTTATAAATAGGACCCTTTAGACATCCATAATGCATCTAAATCACCTTTGTATAGAGCATTAGATAAAATCTCTTGCAAAAACTCTCCAAAAATCGTTCCAGATATTTTTTATTGGAGAGAGAATAAATTTCGTTCAAGTTCGCTATTGCTTGTGGTTTGAAGTGCTTTTACTACAAGTTAAATCCTTTGTATCTTGGAAGACAAGTGCTTTGAATCGTTAGCACTGTTGTGGGGTAATTTTGTCTTAAGAAAAAAGTGTAATCACTTGTCTCGAATCATTTTCCACCTTCATTTTACTTCCTTTCTTTTTCGTGTTTTCTACTTCCATAAAGTTTAATTACACACCTGCGATTTAAACTTTTTAATTTCGTCTTTGTTTGTTATTACTAAACAACCCTTTCACCTTATATATCTTGGCATGATAGTTTTTACTTTGATAATTCCACTCTTTTTGATATTTTACTAATTATTGTTAAGTAACTAGAAACCAGATAGTTACTCTGTTATAAAATATGAGATCTGGACTCAATCAAGTCATTAATTACGATTCTCCTTCTTCACATATTCAACTAATAATAACCTTACACCACATCTAATTTGTAAAAGAGTATGTCTCAACCATGAGAGCTTTCGTATTTCGTCTTACCCTCTCATTATCAAGCTCGAGTAAACCAACACAAATCTCAAACACCCCTAATTTGAGAGACGGATCCAAACACATCTTTTCTCTAAAACTACACATATAACTAAAAGTCATTAAGGGAAAATTGTACACCCCTCGATCTCCCATTTTCCAAAACCTCAATCAAGATATATGCTGCATGATTTGTATCACAAGTGTACAATGTAATAAGTAAAAAAGTGACTAATAATTTGGATTATCATTATCAATGGACTATTGATCTAATTTTTTATTCTACTATTTTGTAACTTCAACTTCGTGCAAAAGCAATTATAAATCTAACAAAGCAGTTTAAAAGTGCAAAATTAAGAATTAGAATTTTTAACTTATAAGTGATAAATGTTAGGACTTACAATTTCACAGTAGTTATTCTTATTAATTTTACCTCTTAAGATTCATTATTTAATATTGTATTTAATCAAATTCGTTAATTAAATCATTTTACATCTCTTGGGTTCAAATCTATCTTATCTAGCCGAGCCAACTCACTATATCTTTATGTGAATCCGAATGAGTCTAAACTATTTTCATCAAATCACCAAATAATACAATTAATGACCACAATAATTCTAGAAGTGTATTTCTACCTTTTATCCAAATTACCGAATGTTAGTACAAGGTATAAAATCTATAGCTTACCTCTCGGTTCGCTACAAATTCATGAAACTTGTGATTTATTCTGATATCTTTCTTTTACTTCTTATCACTCACATGCCATCCGATTAATCTTTAATTGCTTAGTTACAACTAAGCTCGAATAGCCATTTTTGCTCAAATTGAATTTTCCTACAATTAATATATTTACTCTAAAATAGGTAAAAATTCGCTCAATTGACCATAATTTATCATGTTTAAAAGGATGAATAAACACACTTATCAATATCCAAAAACCTATCAAATCTCATAATTACTTGTGCCACCTTACATTTTGCCAACAGACCCTATACATATTTGGTTACTCCATGCTTGACTTTGTTTAAGATAAAGTTTTCATAGCTTAGACAACTATTCGTTACAGTCCTAATATACATTAAACTATAATACATTAATTGTAGTAGATTATTTCTAATCTATGCACAAATATAAGTCTAGCGATATTGCTCTTATTATTTAATTTATTGCATTAGGATGGCTCCAGGGGCGAAGCTACATAGAGACCACTACAAACAGGTGCCCAGTGCACTGGATTTTGAGCTTGACACAAGAAAAACCAGTGTGGCTGCACTGGACCAAGAAGAGAAGAAGAAGGGAAGAAGTAGAGCACGCACTGACATTAGCAGAGCCAGAATTTACATGTTGGGAGAGAGGACAATCGCCATTTACCATTGTTGCAGGCAGTAGCAGACGGAAAGGTTGAAGAATGAAGGGAAAAGATAGAGAGGAAGATAAGTGTTAGACTTGGGCCAAATTTCCAAAGAAATTTAGGAAAAATTCATAGTCCAGAAGATAAGTATATGACCTTTCAAATCTAAGATTACATGTTTGAATCTTCAAAAATCAAATGGGTGGAGAGAGAGAATCTTGGTGGGAGGAGAGAGAAGAAGATTGGAGAGAGGAGATGTGATAGAAATTAAATAACATGTGGGGGAGAAAGAATATTGGTGGGAGGAGAGAGAAGGAGATTGGGGAGAGAGAATAAATAATATTTAATATTTAAACAAGGAAGATGTAATTTTAGAAATGTGAAATTGACGGACTCTACTATAACAAATTCACCTTCCAATCACAAATCTGAACCAACTCCTACAATTCATCTCTCAGACGACATGTTTGAATCTTCAAAAATCAAATGGGTGGAGAGAGAGAATCTTGGTGGGAGGAGAGAGAAGGAGATTGGAGAGAGAAGGAGATGTGATAGAAATTAAATAACATGTGGGGGAGAGAGAATATTGGTGGGAGGAGAGAGAAGGAGATTGGGGAGAGAGAATAAATAATATTTAATATTTAAACAAGGAAAATGTAATTTTAGAAATGTGAAATTGACGGACTCTACTATAACAAATTCACCTTCCAATCACAAATCTAAACCAACTCCTACAATTCATCTCTTAGACGACATATTAAAAGCCACGAATCATTTAATATTAAGGTAAAAAATCTATACATTTGATCACAAATTCACTATTTAATTAGTCGCATATTATTTTTCGATCACAAATCAAATTTTTTATATATCACAAATTATTTTATGGTCACAATTTAAAATTTTAATTTGTCACAGTTTCTTCATTGGTCACGAATCAAAAAAAATTATACATCACAAATTACATATATTATAAGTCCCAATTTATTAAACGGCCACAAATTAACAAATTTGTGGTCACGAATTTATTAAGTCACAGAATATATTTGGTCACAAAATCAAAATTTTTTAGGCCACAAATTATTCATCAGTCACATATTTAAAATTTTTATTTGTCACAACTCATATACCCATTGCAAATTATTGAATTAATTTATCACGATTAATTTTTCGATCACAACTTAATTATTTGTGAGTCACAATTGGAAGTTACAGATACAATTACAATTTTCAGCACCACCAACATCCTTGCCACCACAGCCAGTACCACCCCCTCTACCAACACCGCAGCACGCACCACCCCACATTGCATCAACCCATTTCCTCAAATCACCAACACAAACGCCCACAACGGGCACCACCCGCAAATCATTCCACAACCACCACACCAAACCATTCCACAACCAAACCACAGATCAAATCATTCCACACCACCGCACCAAGACATTCCACAACCACGCACCTCTGCCGCACACACACACACTCACTCTCAGCCGATCTGCATAGGGTATTAATTTTGGCCGCAGCAGTGCCGCACCCACGCACATACACACCGTCGTTATCCACCACCCACGCGCGTACATGTCATCGTCGTGTACACGCCGCCACCCACATAACAAATCCACAACAGATCTCTCTCACCTCTCTCATCGCCGATCTACACCGCATCAACAGACTTCGATTCCAGCGACGGCGGCCGGAGCAAGTTCTTCATCGTCGGAGTAAGTTCTTCATCGTCCCTACCCTCAGATTACAGTGAGAAACGAGAGAAGAGAGGATGGTGACCGGTGAGAGAGAGATAAGAGAGGAACGGGGCTTAGAGAGAGAATGTATTTTGTGGCTCTACTGGTTCTAACGTAATGGGGGAGTTAATTAGGATAGTTATCAATTGCTCTCTCCTATTTGATATATATCTATTTATCTTTCCAAGAAGTCATAAGCCAACTGTAATGACAAAGGAGAGATAATGAGATTGGAGAGAGAATGGATTGGAGAGGGAGGAAACATATCTGATTTTTGAAAGATGAAACATCCCACCTGATTTAAGAATTCAAATCTTCAAAAGGGTGTAATTTCCAAAAGAAATTTTGCTTTAGACTTTTTTTTTTTTTTTTTTTTTTTTAAAAATAGG